AATAAACAAGTTTTTGAATTTTTGTTAAAAGGGTTTCCATATGAAGAGAGAAAGAGAGATTTGAGGATAAAGTAACACCTAGGTACCGGAAAGAAGATACCTCATTGGGAAGAATATCCAAAGGTTCAGGAATGGGAGAGGGTCGCAATCGAAACACACACTGTACTGATTTCTGATTGTTGAGTAGAATAGAATAGAATAGAATAGAATAGGTTTATTGTAGCGCCCCTTGGGCACTGTCAGTCCCCTTTGAACTCAGGAAAAAAACCTAAAACAAACTCGTCAATTTCAACTGCACTTTGACTTCATTTGCTTCGGGTGCCTGGCTAGCCAAAAGAGCGCGAATTGAGAGTTTGTTTTAAGTTAAAAAAAACCTCAGTTCTAAGGGAAAATAATAGCAAAAGTTTCAAAAAATAACGATATTTACAATATAAAAATTGAAGTTTGCAGTTTGGTAGTTTTCGGGGGCATGAATAATATGTCCTTCATGGCAATTGAAGAACTTTGATATCGGCCTGACCTTGAAATTATTCGAAGACCATGCGATGACGTGGTCTAAGCCATCCTTTAAAGACTGTAGGTGAGTCAGGTTTTTGAGTGGGTGGCCCACGACCATGTCATCGGCATACTTAACATACAGGCAGTCGTTTGGCGATCTCAAATCATCAGTATGTAGGGAGAAAAGATGAGGGGATAAGATAGAACCTTGTAGAACTCCACAATTGTTTGGAAGAATAGAAGATTTTCTCCTTCCCGACTGGACAAACTGAGTGCGGGAGGAAAAATAATCTCTAAGCCAAGAGACAACCCAGCTCGGAGTGTCGCACGCAGCTGCTTTGGTCAGGAGGAGTTGGCGCGGAATAGTGTTGAAGGCGGATGAGTAGTCGAGAAAAGCACATGCATATGCACGGCATCCCTTGTCTAAGTCTCTCAAAGCTGAATGAACAACTAAAGCAACAGCATCCAAGGTGCTACGCTTTGCCTTGTATGCAAATTGTAGAGGATCAGAAAAATTGACGGAGGAGGACTTAAGGGAATCTAATGCAACTCGTTCAGTAAGTTTCAGGAGTGCAGAAGAGCAGGCAATAGGACGGAAAGATTTAGGAGCAAAAGTTAAAGATTTTTTAGGGGTTGGAGTAATTCTTACGGTACGCCAGGCGTCAGGAATCTTGGACTCTATGAAGGATAGATTAATAAGGTGGGTCAAGACGGGAGCTATCTGCGAACAGCAAGACTTAAGGAGAAAAGGAGAGACACCGTCCGGCCCAGCCGCCGTTGACCCGCGAATCTTTTTGAGATGGTGTTCCAATGTTGTCACAGTCACAGGAGTGAAGTCACATGGTGGTAGGTAAATTTCGTTTGG